CACACCTGACTAATTTTTGCTTTTTGTTTTTTTGCAGAGGCAAAGTTTCACCGCATTGTCCAGGCTGGTTTCAAACTCCTGGGCTCAAGTGATTTGCCTGTCTCAGCCTCGCAAAGTACTGGGACTACAGGCGTGAGCCACCATGGACAGCCTGTGTCTAGTTTCTTTCACTCATCAGTAATGTTACTTGAAATTCATCCATGATGTTGCATTTTTCAGTAGCCACTCTTTTTTTATTGCTGGAATAGTATTGGATTATATGACTATACCACAATTCGTTTATACAGTTTCCCATTGATGGACAAGAGCCAATTTAGTTTAAGCATAATAGACATAGGGAATATTGAATTTCAGTAAACATAATGTCAGGGATGAATGGAGGGAAACTTAGAGATCATCTGTCTAAACTTTCTTATTTTGCACATGAGGCTCAGAGAAGGAAAGTGACTAGTCCAAAGTCACACAGGTTTATCAGGTCAGAACTAAGGCCAAATCAAGTCTTCTACTTCTCTGCCCAGCTGGGGCTGTTTATCTCCCCCTCTCCATATCTCACTGTATCTCTTAATCAGATGTGAAAAAGTTAATCCTTTGCTTCCTAAAAGGATTTCTACAGTTTTTCTTTTCTTTTTTTGAGATGGGGTCTCACTCCTGTCGCCCAGGCTGGAGTGCAGTGGTGCAATCACAGCTTCCCGCAGTCCTGGGCTTAGGTGATCCTCCCATCCTTAGCCTACCGAGTAGCTGGGACCACAGGTGTGCACCACCACGCCTGGCTAATTTTCTGTATTTTTAGCAGAGACAGGGTTTCGCCATGTTGCCCAAACTTACAGTTTTTCTATGTATACAATCCCCCAAGAGTATATAATACAATTTACTTCCAAGGTGTCAAAGACTTGTCTGTTATGAAGTGAGATGGATTTATAAATGTTCATAAAAGAGAAAAATACGATTCACAAGAAACAATCTGTTTGCAGCAAGGTCTGACATGCCAGAAAACACAATATAGGGTTAAGTATTCTTCAGGTAGCCTTGCAGAGATGCTAGAAGTCTACCAGCCCCCAGATATCATTCCAGGAGTGATTTCCTTTATTTTATCTTTTTACTGCAATAGAAGAGCCACATAAATTCAGATGGATCTGGGTTCAAATCTTGCCTCAGACCTTTTGTAGCTGTGTCACCTTGGACAAGTGACTGCTTCTCTGAGCCTCAGTTTCCCCCTCTGTAAATTGAAGATGATAGTAGCGTCTGTCTTATAATGGTGTTGGGGAATACATTTCCTGGCATGCGGTGGATACTTAATACATCCTTCTTGGTTATAAATTTGGATTTACAGCCTAGAGTGGCTTGAAGACGGGGCGGCTCTGGCAGAAGCAAAGGTAGGGAAGTGAGAGTCCGGGTTGGGGTGTGTGGGAGACCATTTTCTTCCTATGAAGTTTGAAATTTTCCTTGGCAAGAGCCTCATGCCTTTCGGGTCTCTGGCGCCTGGCCTTGTCTGTCTGCTTAGATTTCCCTGGGGTCCTATCTCAGAAACGAAGGCCAGGAAAAGGGCAAGGCTTATGTGGTCCGGAGGTCACGGAGCTGGGCCTTGGTGGTCACATGGCCTTGGAGTGGAGCCCTAGCCTGGTGCTGAGCCTGCGGAGGGCTGAGCCACAAGAAAAAGAGAAAGGCCCTAAGTAGGTAACTGCCATGCTTTCATGGACTTTTCAAGGCCTCAGGAGACCCGATAGAATGGGGCCTCAAGATTCGGGGTGTCTGGAGCAGGGGATGGAGTGGGCTCACTGGGCAAGCCTGGGTTGAGATCGCCGCTTCCTCATCAACTAGCTGTGTGGCCTTGAGTGAATCGTTTTCACCCCCTGAGCCTCAGTTTCTTCCTCTGCAAAATGCAGAGTCATTTCTATTGGGAGATTTCAAGGATCCAATAGGACAATAGGAGCATGGTGAAGAGTCCTTTCCCCTGGTCTAGCTGATGGCTGAGAAGTCACCAGCCACAACTCATTGACCTGTTAAGTTACTGAAGCCCCCCCAATCCCAGACCCTGGGCAAGCCAGGCAGTTTCCATAGGTAACCCCATAATTCACCTCCTGTCCAGCCCCAGCACAAGACGACAAGCTCAGCACAGGTGATGGAAGAACATGGCTGTTGTTCTCCCATGCAAAATTACTTTGGGAATTTCCTGGTGGCCTTTGTCTCTGGGGACTTGCCTCGTGCCAGATACTGTTTGCTGAGAGCCCTGAACCATGCCTTCCCCTCTTCTGAGTTTCTGTTGCTTTAACTTTAAATGGGATTGATAAAAGCACAAGTATTAAATTATTGTGAGGATTGGCCGGGCGGGGCTCCAAGCCTGTAATCCCAGCACTTTTTGGGAGGCCGAGACGGGCGGATCACGAGGTCAGGAGATCGAGACGACATCCTGGCTAACACGGTGAAACCCCGTTCTTACTAAAAATACAAGAAATTAGCCGGGCGAGGTAGGTGGGGCGCCTGTAGTCCGCAGCTACTCGGGAGGCTGAGGCAGGAGAATGCGGTGAACCCGGGGGGGCGGAGCTTGCAGTGAGGCCGAGATCGCGCCACTGCACTCCAGCCTGGGGCACAGAGCAAGACTCCGTCAAAAAAAAAAAAAAAAAAAAATTATTTGTAGAGGATTAAATGGAGTAATGATTGCAAAGCACTCAACAGAGCCTGGTTAAGTGCAGTAGTTAAGAGACTGGGCCCAGGATTCAGGCGTGGGTTCAAATCCTGCCTTCTACCATTTTCCTGGGCTCTGTTAACTGGGAAACTGCTTTAGTTTTGGGCCTCCATTTCCTTATCGCAAACCTAGGATATGACTGGAATCCATTTTATAGAGTGATGTGTGATAGCACTGAAATAACAGGATGTGAAAAATAAAATGACTGGAGGCTAACCAAAAAAGTTCGTTAAGTAGTAGGAATGCTAGTACATTCATCTTGTGTGGGTGACCAGATGGTTAAGGAATTACGTATTCTTCAATTTTGCTGTCTATCAGTCAGAGCAGTATCATTGAGTTTTAACCAGTTATAGCAATAGAATTGAATTTCAGTAATACCATAGCCAGCCTCTTTTTTTTCTTTTTAAAATTATTCTTTCCTGGATATGGTAACTGGAAATTTTTTTTTTTTTTTTTTTTTTTGAGACAGAGTCTTGCTCTTTTGCCCAGGCTGGATCGCAGTGGAGTGATCTCGGCTCACTGCAGCCTCTGCCTCCCGGGGTTCAAGCAATTCTCTCTGCCTCAACCTCCCAAGTAGCTGGGACTACAGGCACGCGCCACCACGTCCCGGCTAAGTTTGTATTTTGTAGAGACAGGGTTTCGGCATTGATGCGCCCAGATGGTCTTGATCTACTGACCTTGTGATTGGGCCCCCCTTGGTCTCCCAAAGTGCTGGGATTACAGGCATGAGCCACTGCGCCCGGCCACTGAAAAGATTTAAACTATTGCGTCCCAATGCAGTCGTAGAATGGCCATGTGAACCTGAGCAAGTCACTTCCTCTCTGTGGACCTCACTTCCCTCCTCTGTAAAATTGGGATAATTATGCCAACCTTGTGGGGTTCCTCTGAGGGTGAGATAGGACACTGGGGGCCCAACTCCCAGCCCACCCTCCGGCCCAGGATCCGCTTCCCACAAACTGGGATTTCCTGGCTTGCCATTGTGCTCTACAGTTGCCATGGTAGGAAAATTCTGGCTCCAGGGCATTACGACAACTCATTGCCATTAATGCGAAGTTGGTGTGTGCTTATTCTTCTGGCTGTCTGCACCTGGACCTAAGGACGAGGACTGGGAGCGGGGCTGGGTTGCAGGAAACCGTCAGGATTCCTGGCTCCTCCAGCCATCAGGAAACTTGGCAAAGGAGGCCTGCTCCAGGGAAAGGCAAGGCGTCTGGGCTTTGGTGTCAGACAGACCTGGGCTTGATCTCAGTCTTGTTCTTTTAAATACGCATGCCATTGGGCAATCCCTTTGATCCTCAATAACAAGATAACAACAGCGTTTACCTCTAAGGGTTACTAGGGCACTGTGTTTGTGCCCAGTAAGTGTTGTCTTATATTATTACTGCTAAAGATGGGCCTGACATGGTTTATTGGCCGAATAATGAATGCCTCAGCAGAGTGAGCAGAGCCAAGACTTCCCTCTCATAGTTCTTCACCAGGCCCTGGGGAGTGGAGTAGGACGTGAGTTAACACATTGACATCTCATGATGTCAATCAAGTGCTTGGCAAGTAGTAGATGCTCGATAAATGATAATTCCTGCTCCCCCAACCTCGCACAGGCAGGCCTGAGTAGACCTTAGAACTTCTTTGGGCATGGCAGTCATCATTTTCTTCTGCTCAGTCCTGTAGGAAATGTAAGGGCTCATGGTCTCCTTCAACCTTCATTGTGGCCTAGGTCACCTTGTTCCAAACATGCAGGGAAGGAGACTTACCAGGGAGACTTTCAGTGGCTTCACTGAAAGTGAAGAGCTGGTACACGACAGCAACTGTGTCCACTCTGTCTATTTCCCATCCATCATTCATTCATTCAAGGAATATTCTTAAGCACTGTCAACTGAAGAATGATGAGGTTCACACAATCGGAAAGGAGATCTTTATTTATCATAAACGGAGGCAGCCTGCAGGCCAGCCATCCCATAGGCTGGGCAGCATGGCCTCTGGCTCTGCAGAGAGCAAGCAGTTTGAGGGAGGGGTAAAGGGAACAGGAACTTACGCTGAGTGAGAAGGCTGAATATACACACGTAACCAGCAACCAGAGGAGCCATGAATACTGATGAAAGGAGAAACATGTACATGCATAGTCCAACTTCATGCCTTTCCATGGGTTGCATGTTCAAAAAATGACAGTGTTAGTATGATCCATGAGGGTGGAATTTTTGGTCCTCAGACATCAAAAGGTGAAGCAAAGGATGTGAAAACCCTCACTGCACATCCTCCACAGGTTGGCCAAAACTGGTCCAGAGATGGTCACTGGACGTTTCTTTCTTTCTTCTTTTTTTTCAAGCTGGAGGGTGGTCAGTTTTTAAGAAGGGATACCATTATGAAACTGGTGAGCTGTCATGTCAAAACTGCAAAGAGGAAGAGGGAGTCTGGTCATGGCCTCAGACGACTGGCTAAAGGTGATAAAGGAAATGAGTCATCTGTTTCTTGTTTTCCAAATCTGTTTACTCCTTGGGAAGGAATTCTGGTTAAAAGTTAATAAGGAAGGGGCATAGTGAGATGTGTTTGGCCTCCTGTCCCATCATGGCCAGGAACTCGGTTTTTAAGGTTTCTCCTAGGTCCCCTTCGCCAAGAGTGGGTCTGTTCAGTCTGTTGGAGGGCTTAGGATTTGATTTTTAGTTCTCAGCACCTACTATGCGCTCTGAGCAAAAATGGTTAACAGGACAGACTCTTCTCTGCCTTGGGAGTTTATAGCCTAGTCGGGAGAGAGATAGGAATAAATAACTACACCAAAACTTTCTTAATCACAAGGCCTTTAAGTACTGAGAATGGGAAGTGCAGGGAGTGGCCAGAGTGTCCAACAGGGTGACCCAGCCTCCTCTAAGTGGTCAGGGAAGACCTCCCTGTGGAGGCTCATCTTGAGCTCCCCTGAGAGCAGAGCCTAGAGCAGAGACTTAGGTGCGGGGGTTTATTTGGGAGCGGACCCGGGGAGCAGCAGGGGAGGAGTGGGGAGGTGAGACCGGGCAGGAGGAAAGCCAACATAAAGGTTGTGATCAGGGTCGTTCCTGTGGGCAGCAGGACCGGCTACGTCTGGGACCACCTGAGGAGGGGACAGAGGGCCTCCTGACAGTGTCCATGCAAAGGGACGAGGGACATCACCAAGGGAGGCCCAAGCAGCTCTCCCAGTGTCCTTCCAGTCAGAGGAACCTCAGGTCAGTCATCCAGCAGTTCAGGCCCAGATGAGTTGACTGCAGCAGGTGACATTCTCCATGCAGCTTGGAGGGCCTTAGGGGAGTATTCCAGGCAGAGGGACAGCTCCCGATTCACCTGCCTGTAAGAGGGACAGCGCATCTGCCACAGCCTGGCCTGGGCGATTCTGCTGGCCCCCCGTCTTAGAGTGGAAGCGTACATCATCCAGACCCCACCCCAAGCTGCACGACTCAGAGTGTCAGCTGGAGCACTTTCTCCACCAAGTGCCTCCTCCGAAGGTCTCTCAAAGAAAGGCAGGGGTGTCAATGAGAAGCAGGTTTGTAGATGTGCTTCTTTCTCCTCCATCGTGGTCTTCCTGCCTCCCAGACAAGCTTCGGAAGGCAGGAAATCTCCAGACCACCTATGGAAGACAGAAGCCTGCCTGGGCCTGGGGTTTGGGTCATGTGAGCCAGCTCTAGAAAGCCTTTTGGTGCCCACAGAAACCCAAAGAAAAAGAATGTATGGCATAACTCTAATGAAATTTAGGAAACCCGAGGCATTCCCCACCCTTGTCTACTCTCCCTAAACTGTCCAGGGGCTGGAGGGAAAATGCCTGCAGGCAGGTGGTAAGCTGCATTTTGGTCCATCCCAAATGACACAGAGCAGTGGCTGGGAGTGAGGAGATCTGGTTCCAGGCCCAGTGATTCCTTGAGCCATTATTGCAGAAAGACCTAAGCCAATCTGAAATGCACAACTCTAGGCTCTTCTTGGTGGCTAGCGGTGTTAGTCAACTGTTAGGAGTGAATGAGGACCTGCCGCTTCCCCCAGTCTTGCTACCAGGTTCACATGAAAGCAAGTTGTGCACAGAATTCTGCTCCCACAAAGACATTTAGTAGGCAACTGTTATGAGCAAGCAGGTCCCAGACAGTTCATGCAACATGTATTTATTAAACATGCCTCAGCAGATTTGAGGCAGACGTAAGAATATTCCAGAGTCACAGTCTGTGACTGTTACAGGCCACATCAGGCAACCAGAATCACTTTTTTGAGATGGAGTCTTGCTCTGTTGCCCAGATTGGAGTGCAGTGGCACGATCTTGGTTCACTGCAACCTCCACCTCTCTGGTTCAAGAGATTCTCCTGCTTCAGCCTCCAGAGTATCTGGGATTACAGGTGCATGCTACCATGACCTGCTAAGTTTTGTATTTTTAGTAGAGACAGCGTTTCACCATGTTGGCTAGGCTGGTCTCAAACTCCTGACCTCAAGTGATCTGACCGTCTCGGCCTTCCAAAGTGTTGGGATTATAGGCGTGAGCCACTGTGCCCGGCCCAGAATCACTCTTAACCGGTGGCTGGACCCAGGACTACCAGGGAGCAGCCTGAAGTGCCATCCCTGGGACTTGCTGGATTCTTATACCTGGTTTGTGCCAGGGGAGGAAGTGCCTCTAAAATATTTTAACCGAGCTGTATATTCTGAATCCCACTAATTTTATCAACAAGTGCCTGTTTCCAGCATCCATTAAGCTGGCTAACAAGCCACTGATTTCACCTCTGAAAACTCATTTATTTTTAACAGTCATTATGCTAATCAGCAGCCGCTGGTGTTGATCAGCACTAAAGACAAACGAAACCCTTGTCCTTGTGGCTTCTGGAGCCAGTGAAGATGACACTGCAGTGAAAATGGCAACTGGCCGCCACTCGACTGTGAATTTTAGAAGAGGCAACAGACTACGCTGGAGTCGTAGCTAAAAATCAAGAACACAAGTTTATATCACATCATCTTCTCTGAAGCATTCTCAGCTTCACTTTGGACATCGTGGTGGTGAGATTCTGACAGTCACCTCTGCCACTGGCCCTCATGTCCCCATCTCTAATGTGCCTAGTACCCCGTGTCCTTGGCACAGCCTCCTGCTCTGGGGCAGAATCTGGGGTGAGGTGGTTCTGGGCTCCCTATGGACAACACTGGGGATGACACTGGTCATTTTCTAATGCCTCCCTTCGTTGAGAGATCTCAGGGTGATTATCCTCAGAAAAATGTGCCTGTATGGGTGCAGTGGCTCATGCCTATAATCCCAGCACTTTGGGAGGCTGAGGCAGGAGGATCATGAGGTCAGGAGCTTGAGGCCAGCCTGGCCAACATGGTGAAACCCTGTCTCTATTAAAAATATAGGAATTGGCCGTGCGTGGTGGTGTGTGCCTGTAATCCCAGCTACTCAGGAGGCTGAGGCAGAAGAATTGCTTGAACCTGGGAGGCGGAGGTTGTAGTGAGCTGAGATCGCACCACTGCACTGCAGTCTGGGCGACAGAGCAAGACTCTATCTTGGAAAAAAAAAAGAAAAGAAAAATGTGCCTGCTTGCTGCCAGCAGAACCAGTCCTTACCTCTAAACACTCTTTTGTCCAACTGATCATTCATTTATTTATTAACAAGTTATTTTGGGGAGGGATTTCCATGTGTGTGCTCGGGCTGATTTTCTAGCACAGTGTTGGAGCTCAGTAAATATTAAATGAGTGCATGAAGGATGACAGGAGGGGAGAAAGGGATTGGGGGCTGTGTGCAAGGGAAGCAGCAGCATGGTGTGCCTGCAAGGTGGCTGTCCATCTCACAGAGCCACCAGCCCTGCCCTCCAAAGGTTCCCTCAGCCTCTCCATCTTCATTCTTCTTCCAGGTTGGTGTTAAGCCTTTTGAGAGAGGCTGAATTAAGTGCTAGGCTCCCTTCACTGCCTAAATGTCCTGTGAGAGCTGTGCCAAGCAGCGGATTGCTAGAGCACGAGGCTGTTTTCATTGTCTGACTTGCTTGGGAGCAGGTGGTTCATTTCTGAAAAGCTGAGGCTTAGTGAGTTTTCATGGATGGAGGGGACAGAGGAGAGGGAAACAAAACAGACTGACAGATACAGAGAGCCACAGCCAGCTGATATGTGCTGAGCACTCAATCCATGCCAGGCATGCTGTTAGGCCGTAGGAATTCAGTGGTGTAACAGACAGACTCAGGTCCTGCCCTCAGGGAGCTTAAAGTCTAGAATAAGGGTTGGCAAAGTCCAGCCTGTGGACTGATTCTGGCCTGCTTGGAACACAGCTGTGCTCATTTGTTTGAGTGTTGTCTAGGGTTGATTTCACTCTGTGGCAGAGTTGAGTAGTTGCAGCAGGGACTGTGTCGCCTATGAAACCTAAAATACTTACAATCTGGCCCTTTATAGAAAAAGTGTGCTGACCCTGGTGTAGAGGCCAAGCAGATACAAACAGCCAGAAGCAGAAAGAAGACTGAAGCCAAAATGCACACAGAAAATGAGAGAGAGAGAAGGAGCCCCCATAAATATGTGAGGTGGGAAGGCTGCAGTTCCCGCAAGTATTTCCATTTCCACTTCACCATGACAAAACTCCGCCATCAGTGGCTTATTCCTTAGGGATAAGCATTGCTTTCACAAATATTCCCCTGAGAAGAGTTTTTCATCCTCAATGTATACCCTGAGTATGGAGTGACCGAAGAGATCATTCTGGAGGCAGACAAGGCTGCTGAAGATTTCCAAAAGCCAGGACAGAGGGAGAGGGAAGGCTGGCCTTATGGGTGAGAGGTGTCTGGGTAGGGCAGAGAACCACAGCCTGCAAAAGCAATTGTGGTGTTTGTCCAAGCTGAGCCGGTGGTAGGGTGTGTCTCTGAGCTACTCTGCAGTTTCTCAAGAGTGGGATTCTATCTGTGACCAAAGGAGTCACTCACCGCCTAAGGGCAGAGTTGTGATTCCTCTTCCATCCCTGACATTGGGCAGTGTCGGCTCTTGGGGGTGCATAGGTGTGTGTGTGCGTGCACTGGTGTGTGTATCAGCAGGGAGCCACATTTTGCAGGGAAGGGGGTTCAGTTTATATAATTTAGGGTACCCTCTCTAAGGAAAAGATTTCAAAATTATCAATACTAATTTAGGTATGCACATGCATATTTAGAATTTAAAAATAAATCATAATGTTACAACATTTTTAAAAATTGACAAGGGTCAGAAACATCACAAAATCTAGAAAAATGACATATATATTAATCAACTTCCTGATACCCTCTGAAATGCATTTCATGCTAGTTTTGCTACATACTTTTCATATGTTTATGATTTTTAATAATCTTTTCTGATAGAGAAAAGAATGATGTCAGCCTTTCCTCTGACACAGTCGATTGAAATTTGTTTTTTCACCAAGAGTTAGGATGCACAAGATGTAACTTCATATACATACTTGCTTCTTGCAGCACAGTCTTGGGTTTGAGTCCTACAGACTCAAGAATTCTGATAAATTCAATTTTGTGTGTTTTCCATCACAAAAATGTATGGTGTATTTATAATGCTATAGGTCACCTTATTGGGGATATGCTGCATTATCAAGCATATGCCCAAATGGAAAAAAATATTTTTGATTAGGTGTCAGAACTGAATCCAATTATAATACTATCTGTGATGATCTGAAGAATTTTCCATTTCCATTTCCAAGACTAATTTCTGGCTATGTCCATTTCCAACCCTGTTTCTCTTCTTTGGCCCACACCTTTCTGATACTGGGCACCAGACCACACACTGAGATATTTTGGTACAGCCATAGACCTCATCCTTCATGTCATGATGTAGGGCAAGTTGGCATGGGGGCAATAGGGCTATTCTGGAGGCCATTGCTATGCCAGTGTCTTAGTCTATTTTGTGTTGCTTATCACAAAATACCTGAAAGAAAAATCATTTATTTCTTACATTTATGGAGGCTGAGAAATTCAAGGTTAAGGACCTGCATTTGGTGAGGGCCGCCTTGCTGCTGGTGACTCTCTGCAGAGTCCCAAAGTGGCTCAGGGCCTTACATGGCAAAAGGGCTGAGTGTGCCAGTTCAGGTCTTCCTTCCTCTTCTTAGAAAACCACCAGTCCCACCCCATGATAATCCATTAATCCACTAATCCCTGAATGGATTAATCAGTTCATGAGGGCCGAGCCCTCATGACAAAATCACCTCTTCCAGGTCCCACTTTTTAATTACATGGCAAAAGGGCTGAGTGTGCCAGTTCAAGTCTTTCTTCCTCTTCTTAGTAAACCACCGGTGCCACCCCCATAATAAACCATTAATCCACTAATCCCTGGATTCATGAGGTCTGAGCCCTCATGAGCCAATCACCTCTTGCAGGTCCTACTTTTTAATATTGTCACAGTGGGGATTAAGTTTTACTACAAGTTTTGGAGGGGACAAATATGCAAACCATAGGAGCCACAATAAATAATAATAGCCTATATATGGAAGAGGTGGTGAACCACATCCATCTATGCTCTGATCTCAAACTAAATGTATCGCCAAGTCAACTCTCCCCAAATGCCACCTGTCATGAGGGGAAGTGTGAGTAGAATGAGCTAGGAGTCTTAACCGGTTGTGGATAGAATATGTTGCTTTTCCTAAATGTTCATCATTTG